ATTGCATAAAGAGTACAGAGAGAGAGAGAGAGAGAGAGAGAGAGAGAGAGAGAGAGAGAGAGAGAGAGAGAGAGAGAGAGAGAGAGAGAGAGAGAGAGAGATGAAGCTAAATAAGAAAAAAGAATTAATCTGACGAAAGAATAAAGAGAGACGCAATGCAATTGGAAAAGATGTGGGAGTGAAACAAATGCAACTACAGAAAGAGTAAGGAGAAATGCAGTTGCAGAAAGAAGAACGAGAATGGATGACAAAGGCGATATGCTAATGCAAATGCAATGAGCAAAAGAATAGAGGAAATACAGAGAGAGAGAGAGAGAGAGAGAGAGAGAGAGAGAGAGAGAGAGAGAGAGAGAGAGAGAGAGAGAGAGAGAGAGAGAGAGAGAGAGAGAGAGAGAGAGAGAGAGAGAGAGAGAGAGAAAGAGAGAGAGAAGGAATTTCAATTTAGGTTAAAAAAATTAAAGCTGGCAAGTGGAAAATACCACCCACCCCATTACAAGTTCTGTTGTATAAAGTATTATGTTAGTGCCACCTTTTAAGGAAAAAGAAGCAGATAAATACTTTCCTCATTTTTGAACAATTGCTGAAAATTTTAAATGGCCAAGAGAGGACTGGGCTTTATTATTTGGAAAATGCTGCTTGTACTACTGACGATTATTCGTTGACTTACAAGGTGTCTTTAGTCAGTATTTAATTAGTAAAAAGCCAATTAAGTATCACAAATGCATTCCAAATCGAAAACTGACACAACCTATTGGAATCAAGCTTCTGATAAGACAGATCAGAAATCCACATCTTCTAAGTCCACCCACTGCAAGAAGAAAGGGCAAGCTATTCATAATTGCTACAGATTGAACACTAAGCAATAGAATAGAGATAGGGCTAATCCAAATGCTCTTATTTCAAAAAGGTCAAGGTCATGATTATGTATTGCAAGCAATATATTTGTCGGGTCAAACAAACCCCAGTGTGATTAAATTATTTAGAATTATGAACCATTCATGTCAAAAGGTTCTGTATCGCTTATTAGTGATCATGTTATTAATATCCTTATTAAAATGATAAAGAACACAGAAGTTTCTTAGTCTTTTATTATCAGGTGCTTTGCTTTTTAATTCTCGTTCTCTTTATTCTAATCAGAGTGACAAAAGAAATAGCTTATTGTGGAACAGGATACAAAATCCTCATATGTTTCAGATGGCTATTAGCGAAACTGAGGCCACACAGATACCAGTTTGTTATTTCGTGAAGAATGGGTTCCTTTTGAGAAAATGGAGACCGCTGGTGGTTAGTGACCTATGAGCTACTAAATGGTTAATAGGAAATTCTTTATCAAGCCCATTAAACTCCTTTGGTTGATAATTTATGGGTCATTACGACTGTTTGCAAGATCTTGAATTATCTCGATTGGCCGAAAATTAAATGCGATGGTTCTAAATACTATAAATCCTGTCCCTCTTGTCAAATGGTAGGAAAATCTAAACAAATGATACCTAAGGTGCATCTGCGACTTATTGCTGTATTTGAAGAATCATTTAAGCAGAACAAAAGGAAATTCTGTAAACCCCTTTCGTAAGACCAAGTCAGACTACCAATATATGTTGACCATAATATGCGCGTCCACGAGAGTTTCAGAGGTTTTTCCTTCCATGAGTATTACAAGTTAAACAATGGTAAAATTCGTGATAAATTCTTACACTTCTTGGAATCCCGAATCTGTTCAATTTGATTATGGTAAAATGTAAGGTCAATAATTGTCCACCAAGTTAATGACAAACTAGGCGTCCATCAGTTTAAGTCTTCTGCATATCACCCCAAAAGTTTTGTCCTTGGACAGTTTTTATCAAACTTTGAAGAATGTGATTCGATCATATTACTTTGAAACCAAAAATCTTGGGATGAGGGGGTTCATTTAGTCTTGTTTGGGAATCAGGTCAAGAATCATTAGCGTTTAGCTATTTTGAACTAGCTTTTGGATATAATATCTATGCAATTATTAAAAGAGAATATTCCTTCAACCGAAGATTAAGAAATGTATCTACTTGACTATGTCTCAGATTTCAAATGTAAATTTTCAAAGACTTTTGAAGTAGCAACAAATAATCTTCAGTCTACTCTGTCAAACGTGAAATTAAGGCATGACAGAAATACAAATGAAGAGTTTTTAGCCAATCTTTTTAATATTAAGAATATATCCTCTTCAGGCTAGGTATTATGATCCTTACACAACTGAAAAGAATGTTAGTGACTTTAATTATATCATTACACTCTTGGAGGAGAAACCAGAAACAACTTTGCCATATAAATTTGTTAAAGGACTATGTTGAAAGAGCACTGTTAATTATTCAGTGAGTTTAGTTGCAACTATCCCACACAATTACGATTTAAATGTGCAATGAGACTGTAGTTACTTTGGTTTAACCTATCTCCACAGATCAGAAATATTGCAAAATGTGGACCAGAAACATTCACTTCCACAGTCACATGAAAAGAATGAACTAAAACAGTCATTAAGTTTTCAGGTTCCAACACGAAAATAGAATCCATAATGACGTCAAAATTATAGATTCTATACTTGTGAAACAACAATATTACAGGATGAGTCCTCTCAAACAGGAAGAATGATTTCATACAACCGAGTAAACGTAACCGTAATTCACCATATATTCTTGTATAGAAACCAGATAATAGTGTTCGTTTCTGTAATGACTATAGAAAAGTGAACAGATTCTCAAAAACATATTCATTCCCATTGCCAAGAATGGAGGATTGCATTAACAAAATTGGAAATGCAAAATATGTTACTATGTTTGGACTTGTTAAAATGTTACTAGCCACATTTCACTCACAGAAAATGTAATGGACATTTCGGCATTTGATTCTCCAGTTGAACATTATTAAATTAAAGTGATTCCGTCTGGTATGAAAAGTACACCTTCAACGCCCCAACATTTAACAAACATGACAAAATTTGGTTTAAGTAATTGTGACGCTTGCATAGATGACGTTATCATCCACGACGATACCCTGAAAGATCGCTTATAAACCATGCAAGAAATTATTTGGCCTAACGAATGATGCAAATATGATAATTAATTTAGGTAAAAGTGAATTTTTTCGTGCTTGTGTTGCATATTTAGAACCTTTTATGCTACATTGTCAAGTTAAAACTATAGGCGTTACGAATGGTGTGAAACAAAGATACGACTTAGCTCCCACTCTCTTCATCTACATGTTCTCTGCCATGCTGATGGATGCAATCAGGAACAGCGATGTGGGAGTCGGTCTCCAATACCGTCCGGATGGGAAGTTGTTCAACCTGAGGATTTTTCAAGCCAAAACCAAAGTTCAAGTTGAGAACATTCGCGACTTCCTGTTTTCAGATGACTGTGCCCTCATCTCCAGCACGGAGGCAGGCATGCAACAGAGCATGGACTTCTTTTCTACAGCGTTCGCCAACGTCGGATGCACCATTTCCACCAACAAGGCTGAGGTTATGCATCAGCCATCTCCTGGAATAGATTACATGTAACCATCCATCACTGTCAACGGCCAGAAGCCAAACATGTGGACAGGTTTACATACCTCGGCAGTGCCCTCTCACATTCCGTCCACATAGACGATATGGTCAACACCAGGATTGCCAAAGCCCGTGTAGGATTTGGCAGACTCCGCTCAAATGTCTGGGATAGGAGATACATCAAGCTTGTCACCAAACTCAAAGTCTACACGGAGATTTTTTTATCCACACATCTCTATGCTTGAGAGACCTGGACTGTGTATAGCCGCCATGTTCAAAAACGGAACCACTTCCACCTTAGCTTTCTGAGAAAACTGCTGAAGATAAGATATCAGGAGTAGGTACTGAATACAGAGTTACTCACTCAGACCGGCATGACAAGCATCCACACCAAGATGTGCAAGGCACAACTCAGATAGGCTGGCCATGTTGTCCGCATGCCGGAAGAACGACTACCCAAGAAGGTCTTTTATGGAGAGCTACAGAAAGTCAAGAGATATCACGGTGGTCAAAAGAAGAGGTACAAGGACACCCTTATGGCCTCGCTGAAGAACTTTGGCATTGACCCCGACAGCTGGAAGAGTGTCGCTGCTGATCGATCTGCTTCGTGCAGTCAAGTCAATGTTCGTGCGGCCGCCTTTGAACAGAAAGTACTGGTGGACGCATTTGAGAAACGTGCTTTGCTCAAACCCAGGAACTCCAGCTCCACAACCCTCAGCCTGCAACCTGTACATCCATGTTCCTACTGCAATAGACGTTTAAGGGCCCGGTTTGGAATGATCAGCCATCTCAGTGTCCACCTCCAGTGAATTTGATGGTATTAAATGGTCCTCATCGACACCGATGAACGAACGTAATCATCAAGACTATAGATGTTAAGGTCAAGCCTATCGCTGTATTCCCTTTACATATATAATAATGCAATTTATGGGTATGGCTGGATATAATAGCAAATTTTAGTACGATATTTCTATAATTACTGAACCCCTGACCAGCTTGTTGAGTAAGAGATGTAAGTTGCATTGGTCTGGAAAATATCAGACGGCTTTCGATAAATTAAAAGCCTCACCTAAGAGAGAACTAGTTCTTTCAGGTCCAAATTTCAGTCAATCATTTAAAATGTTGTAGGAGTTGGTGAGTATTCATTCAAAAAGACAAAAAAAAAAATGGTGCAGATCATCCAGTGTGCCATTCTCCTGCAAAAAATAAGTAAGCACCAAAAACAAATTCTATAGTCGAAAAGGAATTATTGTCTTTGATATTGCCTGCACAACACTTTGAAGTGTAAATTAATTCAGCTCTTTCTCCATTATTGTATTCAGTGATTGCAACCCCCTTAGTTTTATCAACGAATTAAAACCAAAACTCAGGGATTGTTAGGGTAGAGTTTAATGTTGTATTAATACAATATTGACATCAGATAATGTGATAGTTGATGCATATTCACATATATAAAATTACTATATTGCTTTATTTTGAGACTGCTTCGGTAACCTAGTGGTTATGTTGTCCGTCTTTGATGCGGAAGGCCGTGGGTTCGATCCCAGCTAGAATCACACCAAAGACTTATAAAAATGGTACTAACAGCTGCCTTTCTTGGCGCTTAGAATTGAGAGGTTAGTGATAGGAATGTCCGGTCTGGTGTCAGGATAATGTGAATGGTTGGAACATCACATTATATGTCTGCGGCATGATGTCCCAGTGATAGACATCACTATAAACTGCCACACTGCAGACATATGACTGGAAAGCTTAAAAGTGTTAAAGCTACTTGAAATATCCAAATCACACACACATACACACACGTACGTGTGTATATTTTATGACAGTCAAAAGATGCTTTTGAGATATATTCGTCATAGAGCCATACTTATATTCGGGTTATAGCCATACCTTTTCTCTCCAGGAATGGTCTGAGATGTACCGCTGGCAAAAACCGAGATGCTCACTATTTGTCAGCATATGTTTATTGAACGTGGTATTCATAACTATATCAGTGACGAGTCACTGCTAAGCTAGAGCTAAAAATCCAAGTGTGGATGGTTATGGCTCTAATAAACTGTTCTATGATGTATCTTAAGCTAATAATAATGCAGGTTTCAGTGCATTATTCCTATAAATGTGGATATACAAAAACAGACAAGTGAGTGTGATTGTAACATTGACATTGAGAACTTTTATCAATTTGACCTAAAGTACCCGTGTCATCTTCACTACTTCCACAACGACTGCCAAGTTGTGGAATTCCCTGTGTCAGGGACAAACCATTGAGTAGTTGGATCGCCCAATAGAGAATGCGTCAAACTGGTTCCCAGTCTATGCAACAGTGGCTTAATGTTATACATATGAGAACCCTGTATCATCGTCTTCGAGCAGGTATTTTTGTGTGTCCTGAATATACTGAGTGCTCCATCTTTAGAAATGTAACATTGAGTTCAGTTCTATTTGACCTGACTGATTTTTTAAATTTTTTTATTTCATTAACATAAACAATTAACATTGTATCTAGTCCTTAACCACGTTCCAAAATCAGTGACAGTTTTTGTAAACAGCCTTTTGAAACTATTTTTTTATCTTTCTCACAGGAAGAATTATTCAGCTGAATCAAGGTCATACCTGGATTACGTGACGAGTGGCATGTATCAATTTTTACAAACTTTTATTTTTTTTTCAGAAGAAAGAACTTTTTCATCGGGACTCTAATTCATTTCATTTCGGACGTTTTATTACTAAGACTTCCTTTTTAATTCTTGGATTATTTTTGGATTTAATTCATCAAACCAATGTTTCCGTTATTTCATTTTTCACTTGGTATTCTAGGGAAATAAATTATTCTTTAAATTATACAAAGTTTGTTGTCTTCACACTTTTCTGTTTCTTATTTCAAGAGCATAGACTCGTAACAGACGGTGAATTAAAAGATTCGAATTCAAAGCTAGGAAATTTTAGGAAACACGCGAGTGATCCCTCCCTGTAAAAGCTATTACAAAAATACACCAATTTGAATTACTATTTTCACATCATTTTATGCATATTCACAGCTCCGTGTAATGGTAAGAACACATAGTCATGAACTTGCAATTTTGGGTTTTCCAGATATTCGTCAGTGTAATCCCCAGTAAATATACCAGGTATTTTTTTTCTATATTAACAAAACCATTTTGTTTGTATTGTTTAAGATTGAAGCATGTATTAATATCGATTTAAATTGAAACAAGCCATGTCTAATAAATTTCTTGATTGAATCAAAACAGTTTATTTTCACTTTGAATTAAAACCCACTTAAAATGAACTGTTTGTGTATGTGATATATATATATATATATATATATATATATATATATATATATATATATATATATATATATATATATATATATATATACATACATACATACATACATACATACATGCATGCATGCATGCATGCATGCATGCATGCATGCATGCATGCATGCATGCATGCATGCATGCATGCATGCATGCATGCATACATACATACATACATACATACATACATACATACATACATACATACATACATACATACATACATACATACATACATACATACATACATACATACATACATACATACATACACTGGAGAATGAAATTACGCAGCGTTCTTCTATAGCTTGAGTGTAGATCGATACAGCACTGTTGCTTAGGTATGATGAACAACCTCAAGAACTTGTCGGAGTTGGTCACTTTCGTGGATAATAATCCATGCGTTGGACATTGCCAAAATGGGCACAATTCATAAGGGATCAAGGCCGTGACGTATATCAGTAATAAAAAGGTAAGCAAAGGCAAAAGCGGCATAATGACACATTATTATTATTATTATTATTATTATTATTATTATTATTATTATTATTATTATTATTATTATTATTATTATTATTATTATTATTATTATTACTATTGAACGAGTATATGACATTTAAAACAATCCAGAATGCATAACACTTGATAATCCATAATGGATAACAACTGAGGCATAGTGATCACAATATCGTTCTCAGTCCTTTGTCAGCCTTATGGTTAATTGAAGTTGCGTTAATCCCCTATTGTCTTAAGTCTATGCCAGTTGGCTTAGTACGACTCTCGTTCAGATTCTCCAGCTATGTCCAAAAATTTTACCGAGCACAAAAAGTCACACAGGACGGAGATCTGACGCAAGTAATGCATCAAGTGGTCATAGGTTAGTAGAAATTGGATTCAAATTGTTTGGCAAAACATACCAAAAAATTTGTATTACAGCATTGATAATGAATGAATATAAGATCCTTAATGTTAAGATATTTTGCTCTCCTCGGGTGTATGAAGTTTTCATTTTAACCGCCAACAGGTTGCCATCTCCCCCCCAAAAAAATAACAAATAGTTCAAAAGTAAACATTTCTCAAAAATATGATTGCTGACCAAAGCATTCATTACTTAAAGTAGATGGCGCCTTTTCCCAGCTTCAAGCAATGTGTTAGTGTTTTTTTCTTTCTGGGTTTGGGCTTTTATTAATTAATAATTTCACACATTTTTCATTCAGCATTTAGTAATAATTCACAAAAAACAAGAAGTAAGCACGTGTAATTATTAACTAGTGATACTGCATTTTATGTTGTATAGAATTTTTGTGAGAAGCATGACCAATTTTCTTAACCAGTACATTTGGATGAAGTGTTTCTTTCGACATGAGTAAATCAGCGACTTTGAACCCCCAAAGTAACCAACGTTTCTCTCAGTAATAATCTAGGTTGCAGTGCTCGCGCGCGCACTCGTGTGTGTGTGTGTGTGTGTTCGGTTTATTATTAGTGACCTGGATTGGGTAATACATAAAGAAACTATGTAATCGAGCAATTATGATTCTATCCCCTATGGACCCTTCACGTCAGAAAAGGTCACGCATATCGCTGAGACATTGTGTTTGAGCTACCAATAAAATAACAATAGCGATCTTGACTAGATAATTAATTAAATGGGTCGTGGGCCGATTTATGTTTGAAAGGTATGTTAACTAGTTGCGTCTTAAAGTCTCATTTGATATAGTTAACCGTGATAGCAGAACAAAGGCTGAAAATCTGTCTTATCGAGACCTACCAATAATTATGTATTGGAAAATTACATTAGTTTCAATTATCATATGCCAACCTTTCTCTGATGCCGTTGACTCATGGGATGATGTTACGTCGTTTTACAATAACTATCAATCTGGTACAAAAGGATATACCGCGATTCTTCCCGTCAGTTCTATATATCAAACTATGTATGTTAATATAGATATGGCGTTGTATTCACTTGGTGAATTTGATGCCGTCAATGGCCTGATCGAGTTTGCTGGCGCTCTATCGATGAACTGGACAGATGAAATTCCTGAAATACTTGGATTGACAGCTAATGTTTCTGCGGGAACTAGTATGCTTTGGCCATCAGATTCAATCTGGACACCCGATATTGTCCTTCTTAATGCGGTAGATACGATAGAGAAGCTGGGAAGTTCTACTTATATGGTACGCATTACCGTTCAGACGTCAAGTCAGCCAGTTGAAATTTCATGGCAACCCAGGGTCGTTGTCCGCGCATCCTGTTCAGCAGATGTGACATATTTTCCATTCGATCGGCAGATATGTAGTTTTACTTACACTCCATGGAACTATCTAGCATCAGAAGTGACTTTGGAAATTTCATCATCATCTTGGGACTTAACAAGCTATGAGGAAAATGGAGCTTGGACTGTTATTGAAACAAAGACAGAATCTTACATCCTGAATTCTAAATCGTACAACAAATACACAGTCACAATTGAACGTCGTTATCTGTTCTATGCCTTCAATATTATAATTCCGACTCTTTTGTTATCATTGGTTACTGGTTTTGTCTTTCTCCTGCCAGCAGAAGCAGGGGGGCGTGTAGGTTTTAGTATTACATGTTTCTTAACATTCGCAGTCCTGCTACAAACACTCATGAACTTTATTCCTGATGCCTCGTCACCCTTGTCCTTGATGACTGTTTACCTTGCCCTAATGATGATGTTCGGCGCTTTGATCAACATTCTGGTCATTCTAATCTTACGACTTTATCACAAACCAGAAGGAAGCAAAGTGCCACGTTGGTTGAAAATCATCTTAAGATTGATTACCTGTTCTGTTTGCAAGGTTTGCTGCAAAGCCTGTTGCGAGAAGATGGAGAAACAGTCAAGACAGAATATTCCAGATCATACAGAGCTTACAGACGTCGAAGATAGCAAGAAAGAAGATGCCCCTCCAAATGAAGCTGATGTCAATGCAGATGATGATCATGAGATAGACTGGCCTTTCATAGGACGCACTGTTGACGCGTTCTTTTTCGTCGCTTTGCTTGGTGGACAGGCAGCCCTGTCAGTATTTTTTCTGTTACCACTGGGATTGCATGCAAAATAATACCGTAAAAGATAGAAAATTCACATATTACACAACAGAAAATAATACGAAGAACCAATCAAGTCTCAAAACTCAAATCTGTATTTTGTTTATGATGTGCACGTGAAAGCTTGATACAAATTAAATTTGACGAGCAAAAC